ATGGTAAGGGGAGGGGTGCAGTGGAGCCGGTGACATCAAAAATTGTCCCAAACCCTAAATTTAACTTCTATTAGCCTTGTCTATTATTCACATTGCCGCACAGGACACCGCAAAAACGAAGAAAAAAAAAACTGACACGAGAGGGTTACCTGACACGTCAAAACTGGACACAGAGGGAACCTGGAGAAGCGTAAATATGTGACGAGTCAGGAGTTAGAGTGTGTTAGATACTGTAAATAGTCAGTTTTGGTCCAGCTGTTTTTAATGTATGGCTTTATTTCTTGCATTTAACATTTATGTCTAATTCTGTATTTGCTTTCTGGTTCTTAACTTGCACCGAAGTGACTGATCACGTCCTCTTTCAAAATGTCTCCTTCAGATGGCACAAAATCAGCTCAGATTTCTCTGTACTGTCTGTTGCAGAAAAGATATCATAACTAATGTCTTTAAAAAGTATCAAACATTAATTTAATGGGATTTGTGACCAATACTTTATAGTTATCGCATTTTTTGGTCTTGTTAGAAAATAGCAAATTAAATTTTACTTACTGTTATTTAACTAGGCAAGTCCTATTGAGATCTCTGATCTCTTTTTCAAAGGAGGCCTGGGGGCAACCTATTGTACGTTTTTATTAGTAAATAGTTTTTTTTCCCCTATTTCTTACTTTGTTTCACTTTCAGACTTTTTTATCTAATGTTTTGGATAAGATCAGCAAATTTCACAAGAAAATGATGCTTCTATGTAATTATGTGGTGAAAATAAGATGCTTAAATGTATAAAGTGTGAAGACTGTAAATTAAACATTAAAAAAATGTCCCCACATCCGAGCCAGCTGCAGTCTGACCGCAGCATCRTTACTGGTAACCCACAGTGAGCAGTTTCTTGAATGAGCTGATGGGAGAAATCTCATGTTTAGAAAACAGCTCTGCAAGTTTCTGCTGAAATGCCCCCTCCTCCCCTTTCTGCTGATGTATACATTCCAGTCTACAACCTTTTGCATTCCAGGTGTTGTGACAGGTTGGAAAGTAACCCTTAGTACTTTCTCCTGACATGTTTGTGTTTGACACTATTTTTTTTTCTCCCTTTCTCCTCTCCAGGGTCCAGTTGGCTTAATTGGGATAACTGGGGTGATGGGAGTTCCCGGTGAAAAGGTAAGGAGTGCGTTTCTTTGTCATTAGATCTGTCAGACAGCATCAGCTGCTCGCCTGTCACCGACAGAACCCTATAATTAGGCTTCTGTTAAGCAGCCGAGACTTGAGGCCTCAGAGGCCCCAGAACAAAAGCTTGTATAAACACTCAGCGGTCTCATGTTCACATCAACAACAACACTGTCAAATCCATCTCACTTTTACTGCCTCTCGACCAGCATTTCTCAAAGACTGTACTCTGGTCCAGATCCAGGCCGAACGACAAAATAATTTGGACCCATCCCTCAGTAATATATTAAAACATATCAAAATTATAGTGTGTGGCTCCTATAGAGATGAGTGAGGTGAGCCAGTGTTCATATAGGTAGTTTCTCATTAGACTGTTGGGAATGAGTTAACGATTCAAAACTGAAAGAAAAGAAGCAGTAGTTTTGTTGCAGTGTCACTGAAGTCAAAGTCTTCACACTGCAGGCAGGCAAACACCAACCTTGTGCAGTTCAAGGACGTAACTTTTGGTCTACCATTTGGTGTGGGGGGGGGGGTTGCTCTCTGCCTATTTATTTACTTATTGAGTCATTTCCTTTTATAACATGACTTAGAATAATTTGGGGTTCAAATACATTGTAATGCTTTTACTGTAATGTGCCTGTTTTCTTTACTCTGCACCTTTTTCTGTTTCACATCAACTTAACAGTTAAGAAAAGGCTTTACCCCCACCCACCCCCGCATATTTTTTTCAACAGTAACAAATATTGGTACCACTTTACWATAAGGCTCCCCTTATAGATGGCTTATAAATACTATATAGATAGGTTATTAATTTATCTGTAAACACTTTATACATCATTAATAAATGATTATTAATTAATTAATAAAAAAAAGAAACAAACCTGTCTGTTTTCTTGCTAAAAAGTAAGTCAATCATGTACATATTACAAAATGTTATATAAAACATTTCACACTAGGTTAACTTGTAAGCACAATAATGTATTG